TTCCTCCAAATCTTGATCATTTATTGTTAATATGTGTTTAAACTCTGAGGAAAAAAAGCCTGTTTTCTCTAATGAAGAGTATTGGCACTAACTAGGGATTTAAAAATATCTACCTCGGGGACCTATCTGGATTAGGGAGCTAATTAGCATAAAGGTAACAGCCAGATACTTGCTGGGAAGGCAGAGACATCCTGTCACTCAGGGAAGAGGCCACAGATTCCAGGAGCCCCACAGCTGGGCATGCCCAGCAAGTCTCTCCGGATGGAGTAGGGGACTTCTGGAGCCCAGGAGAAGTTTGGTTCCCAGAGGGCAGGAAGGACCCTCTGCCCTTGCCCAGGAGGGTTGTGGCAAGTGTCTGTGGAATGAGAGCGGGGCCCTGATGGCAGAAGTGGAGCCGTTCCCAGAAGGCCAGCGTGGGTTTTCAAGCTCCAATAAGGTGCTGGGGCTCCACAGAGCAGGTGAGTGATTGCCAAGAGCCGACGGATAGTTAGAAATCTATCATTGTGTTTCTTTAATTCTTGGTCCAAAATGTGTATCATTTGTCATCTAGGGTCATCAGAGTTTAGTTTGTTGTTGATTTAAAGAACGCACATCCAAGGGTGGGGAAGCATGTTAAATTTCTCTGCCTGGGTGAGTCAGATAAAAGAATATCTGAGTGGGCCCCCCATTGTGCATCCAGGGGCCACGGTTCACCCTTGGACAGCTCGTGCACACTCCACGCACGGCCATGCAGCTACTGGGTGAGAAACAGTCGATGCAGAGCACTGGCCACGGAGATCCAAGTCTATAAACAAAAGGTGGCTGGCGGGGGTGGAGGACTGCCTTGGTTCCTGCACGGGGTAGCTGGTGCTGTTTACAGACCATCAGAGGGGAGCGGCGGTTGGTTGACATTGGAACCAAGCCACAGTGGCCTTGCAGAACTTCTCTGGACACACGTGGTCTGCATGTCAAATGCACAGTGGAACGAGGGCACTGCAGAGGGCTCGAGCCATGGCTGGACCTTGAAATGCTTGGCGCTGATCAAAATCCCAGAACCTTTCTTTCTGATGGTGTTCTTTCAAAAGACACTGCCCACAAACACCAGTTCCCTCCAGCCTCAGGCCCTCCTGGGGTAGATGCAGAGGAAAAGCGAAGCTGAGACCCTCTGGCCACCCACAGGCACCCTCGCCTGGCATGAGCCACCTGCATTTTATCTTACCCCAAAGTGGTGGGTAGACTGGACATCTGGGCAGGACCCAGGCCACGGTGGGCCGTGTCCAAGCCGCCCGTTCAAGCCAGCCCCGCCGGCTCCGTTGCGCCTGCCCTGCAGCGGGCTCTGGTGGCGCCCCTCCTGCTTCTCCATGGAGTTGCAGTCCTTAGGTTGTTTTCTGAAGAAAGTTCTATCTGTTCTATCCAGCAAGGTGCCGTCTGAATATCGACCCCAGCAACTTCTCCCACACTCTTCTTTCCCACAACAAATAGTAACAAAGGAAACAATTTCTTTTCTGGGCTGAGAATGGAAAAGGGAGATATCGTCTCCTGAGCTTGTTTAAATTTATTTCCTTTGTTCTATTCATAACATGCCAAGTGACTAACGACAAGGTAGAGCCCAGCTTTAATGGGAAATTAAGGTGGGGCGGGAGAGTTTCCCAGTGTAATTGTGGCATTTGGGCATTATACAGCTTTTAAAGAAGTTGAGGCTGCTGGAAAGTTTGTTGCTATTTTGGTAAGTGGCTTTGTGGCCTGGCTCGCCATGGGACAGTGCTCACCCCGCTGTGAGCATAATTCCCAAGGCTGCTCTGGAACACTCTGGGCTTTGTCCTCCCATTTCTTAGCATGTGATCAAAGGAAGATTTGACCTTGAGTTTGCAAACCCACTGTCTATATCAGTGCTCAGCTTTAAGTTCTGTCTTTGCAAACTCTCCCCATAGACTAGATAAAGACAAATTTATGTTACTATTTCGCTGCTGGTATATCTTATGTATGATTCAACCCACTTTTTTCTATTAGAACTGTTGTTGCAAAAGATGAATTAGAAAATATTTGCAATGTCCTCTGATCTTGATGAGCAGTGCAGTATCTCAGAGATTGAATACTATAGCATTTCATTTTGTCTTAAAGAATAATGGCCAACAAACATATGAAAAAATACTCAACATCTCTAATCATCAGGGAAATGCGAATCAAAATTACAATGAGATATCACTTAACTCCAGTGAGAATGGCCCTTATCAGAAAGTCCCCAAACAATAAATGTTGTTTGGCTTGAATGCGGAGAGAGAGGAACACTCCTACACTGCTGGAGGGACTGCAAACTAGTGCAACCTCTGTGGAAAGCAATATGGAGATACCTCAAAGGGATACAAGTAGATCTACCATTTGATCCAGCAATTCCACTACTGGGCATCTACCCAAAAGATCAAAAGTCGCTTTATGAAAAAGACACCTGTACTCGAATGTTTATAGCAGCACAATTCACAATTGCAAAACTGTGGAAACAATCCAAGTGCCCATCAATTCATGAGTGGATTAATAAAATGTGGTATATGTATACCATGGAGTACCACTCAGCTTGAAGAAACAGTGGTGATACAGCACCTCTTGTATTTTCCTGGATAGAGCTGGAACCCATTCTACTAAGTGAAGTATCTCAAGAATGGAAAAACCATCACCACATGTACTCACCAGCAAATTGGTATTAACAGATTAACACCTAAGTGGACACATAGGAGTAACATTTATTGGGGGTTGGGCAGGTGGGAGGGGGGAGGAGGGGATGGGTGTATACAAACATAATGAGTGAGATGTGCAACATTTGGGGGATGGACACACTTGAAGCTCTTACTCAAGGAGGGAGGGAGGGCATGGGCAATATTATGTAACTTTAACACTTGTACCCCCATAATATGTTAAAATTATGGCAGTGATGCACACAGCCAGTGATCCACAACACGCACAGCCAGGCTGGGAGAGCCCAAGGACGTGCCCTATCTTAGGGGGGCTTGCAAAGGCTGTGGCAACACAGTGCCACATTGGCCCCTGCAACCACAGACATGGCTGACCCCGCAGTCCTAGAGGCCTGAAGTTGGAAGTCCAGGGGTCACAGGCCGAGCTCCCTCGGACTAGGGCAGACTTTTCCCTGCCTCCTCGGCCTCTGCTGTGGCCGGCGGCCTGGCACTGCCTGGCTGGTAGGTGCCTCCCTGCAGGCTCTGCCTTTCTGCCCGCGGCCGCTTCCCTGCACGTCTGCCTTTTTCTTTTCTTATAAAGGCACCAGTCATTGGATTAGGGGCCACGCCAACGACCTCGACTTAACTTGATTACCTCTGCTGACACCCTATTTCCAAACAAGGTCGTATGCGCTGGCCCCTGGGATGCCAGCACATCTTTGGAAGGGGCACAATTCGACCCCTAACCACAGGGAGCCCGCTGGCACTACCTGGCCAAGGAGGTGATTGGCTTCCAAGACCCGCTGGGCGGCATGGGGTCCACACCAGTCTCTGAGACAAAGGCCGCCTCCTGAGGGTGTGACGGAGAGCAGGCGTGCAAGTTCCCATGGAAGGGCCTCTCAGCCCTGCCCATGGACGCAACTCCGAGCAGAAGGGAGGCCCTTCCAAAGCCTCCTCGCCTGGCGTCAGGTGCACCCCTCTGGGGCTGGGCCTGCTCCAAGTCCTCCCGCAGCATCACGCACAACCCTGGAGATATGGGTGCTCCGTCCTCACAGCCATTCTGGGCCTGATGAGGTCTCCGGGTGTCACCTGTCAGTGGCCAGAGAGGCCTGGGTGTGGCCAAGGCTGCCCTGCTGCGTGTCTGGGGGGAGGGGGCTGGGCCTGGGCGGGCCCTCCACTGCAGCACGGCCCCCAGGCGCTTAGTTCAGGAATGGAGCCACTGCCCATGTCCTCAGGGGCCCACTTCACCAGCGACCTTCTTTGTCTGGCTTCCTCCAGAAACAACTCCGGTGCCACACAGCGGTGAAGCGGTGACCCAGGAGGCCTGGGAAGGAGAGGGAGCCCACGAGGGCCGCTGCGGGGCGCCTCCTGTGTGGGCAACTCTGCTCTGTCCTGCGGGCAGCTGGGGTAGATGCTGCCTCAGAGCCATCCCACAGAGGGGAGAGGCGGGATCGATCCGCCCCCCACCGCTCTCCTGCAAGCAAGGCAGCTCTCCAGGTGCTACTTCCAGCACTGCAGGCAGGCACAGCCAAGGTGTGTCCTCCGGAGAAAGGGAGCCACGGGCGACAGGTGAGCGCCCAGGAGGCACAGGCAGGGAGGTCCCGCCTGGCCATTACCACACCCCAAATCAGCCTGCAGCCTGGGCTTGCCTGGACCATTACTGCACCCCAGTAATGCAGTGTTGATTTGGGGTGCAGTGATGTTCCAGGCAAGACCTCCCTGCCTGTGCCCCCTGGGCACTCACCTGCCTCCCTGCGGCTCCATCTCCCTGCGGAACGCCCTGGCTGTGCCTGCGAGAGCTGCCTCAGTCACAGAGGGCTGGGTGGTGGACAAATGCCCTCCTCTCGTCTCAGCCCACTGCAGCCCGGGCTTGCCTGGACCTCACTGCATCCCAAACCACCCGCAGCCTGCTGTGCTTCCACCAGGTGACAGGCTGAGCTGACCCCTCACAGAGCACTCTAGGGAATAAAGGACTAAAGGCCCCACTGCTGGGAGCCCTCTCCCCCAGCGCACTGTCCTGGCCCCTCCCAGGCAGCCTGCACCCAGGACTGGTCCACCTGGGGGTGGAAAGGCCTGTTCTCTCAGCCCAGCTCTGGACACTTCTGCAGGACCACCCAGGCTCCGGTACCCATGAGGCCGGTTGTGGCTCCACATCTCCCTGGGCTGCCCTGCCCCCTCCTCCTCCCTTCCACAGGCGTTAATCCCAAGAGTGCCCCCAGCCCAAGCATCTCCCCATCAGGGTAGGTGTCCCCGGGAATGCCGCCCACAAGATACTGCTGCATCACGTTCCCCAGGCCAGAGTGCTTGCCAAGCATTTCACTGCTCGTGCCACCCCCTCCCCCAGCCCTTTCTGCGATAGAGGTTTACACAAATCTTTAAACAAACTTTGCATGGGATCAACATGGTTGGAATTCTCTCAAGGTTTGCCGGTGTTCTGCTTGCAATTCCGAAAGGCTTCTAGCAGAAAACATTCCATTTCCTTGTAAAACAGAATGATTTCCCTTTCTACGAGCTGCTAATAAGCACATGCAGACCTGGATGTCAGCCACGAATTAGGGGGACAGAGGAGTTTGCTCGCAAAGCCCCACTCAGCTGGGCCTTGGAGACCTGCATGCTGTGGGGTTTCCAAGCTTGGACTCTCAAAGACCTTGAAGCAAATGCCACCTCTACCAGGTACAAACCAGAAGTCATATCCTGAGCAAGTGAGGAGTCCAGAGTGTCCAAGGGCTGCATGTCCAATCAGGCACCAGTGCAGGTCTGTGAGTGGTCACTTGCTGCTAGCCAGCACCTCCCTGTTCTCATTCCGACTCCTCTGTGCCAGGCCAACGAGACATTTTCAGAGGGTTCTGGAAGCCCCAGTCACAGGCTGCCCAGCCCAGCAGCCTCTCAGGTGCACTTGGAGATTCTGGCACATGAACTCTGTCCCAGCCTCCTCAGGAGGGTGGTGACCCAGGGTCCCTGGCTGAGAGGTGGAGCCATCAGCTATGCCCCTGGAGCTGGCCAAGGGGGAGGGTGCCCACAGCCGCTCAGAGAAAGCAGCCCTCGTCCCCTCCGTTCAGGCACACTGCCACTGGGCTGCCCCAGCCCTGGGCTGTGAGCTCCCTGGTTTGACACCCTGCTGTTTCAAAGGGGGGGGGGAGGAGCACAGTGGGAGGAGGAGCCCGGCCCTGCTGGGAATAGCCCTCCCTTCCAGGAAATTCTCATTCACCCAGTTAGGGGCAAGAGCACCCCAAATGTATAAAGATGTTAAAATTCATACGTGTGGGGAAAGGCAGCTGGCTTCGGGCCCCTTCACATGGCCTGCACGCCTGTCGCAGGCCACGTCACGCCCCGAGTCTCACTTGGCATCACAGCCCAGCAGCCGCACAGCCGCTGACGGGAGAGCTGAAGGCAGCCCCTCCTGCCCCGGCTCAGCCTGTGGCTCGCTTCCCAGCTGAGCAGACACAGGGACGTGTGGGCAAGGACACCACGTGGAGGCCCAGGAGCATGGTAGAGGGCATGTGCTCCTGGCCAGGCTCCTCCTCCCTCCCCTGGCTGGACGGTTGGTCCTTCAGGTTAGCTTAGGAGAGCAGTAGGGTCCTAGTCGACAAAGCAACATTGTTTCTGAGATCTGGCACATGGGACAAGGATCCCCTCCGTAGGACACTCTCAGTAGCTGCATTTTCCATCAGTTTGCAGTTTGAGGTTTGCCTGGTCAACACGTCAGAGACCTTCTTCTTTCCAGTATCTTGATACTGCCTGTAACTTGGGACAGTGGCACCAAGCCGAGAGCCATTTCTGCAGAATGGGCATGGGAACCAGTAAGTTAGAGCTTCTTCAAAGGGCCACACACAACCTGGCCACCCAAGAATGCTCTGAGTAAGCAAAATAGTGAGTACAAATGTCAATGCCTCAAAACTGCCGTGTGCCGGGGAGTCGCTAAGGGACCATTGCACACCTTCCTCCCTGCCTGAGTCCATTAACGCAGACAGAACCAAATACCGTAGACTGGGTGCCGCATACACAGCAGAAATGCATCTCTCACAGATCTGGAGGCTGCGAGGTCCAAGATCAAGGCCTCCGTGCGTTCCGTGTCTGGTAGGGCCACTCTCTGCTCCTACAGTGGCACCTGGCTGCTGTATTCTCTGGGGAGCAAATGAGGCTGCATGAAGCCTCTTTCAGGAAGGCCTAATCCCATGCCCTCATGACCTAATTGCCTGCTAAGGGCCCCGCCTCGTACTACCTTTGCATTGGGGACTGAGATTCAACATGGACTTTTGGAGGTGACAGAGGCATTCAGACCACAGGATACAACTAGGGAAAGGAATGCCCAGTGGAGGCAGGGTGGCCACTGCAGACCCCCCGTGGGGACAGCGCTCAGCTGAGCTGTGAGGGCAAGGCCACCTTCAAAACTCCAGAACTGCGAGAAATAACCGTTCTTTACAAATTCCCTAGTCTCCGGTATTTTGTTACAGCAGCACAAGAAAACTAAGACACTCACCAAACATCCATTGTTTTCGACCACTGCCCCGCCTGACCCTGTGTTTGTCCTAGCCTCTGGAGGGCTTTCCCCGCGAATGCTTTCCAACAACCTGGCAAACTTTACCCGCTGGGAGGGGAAAGTGGGGAATCCCACCTTGGGCCCTGCCCCTCTTAGTGCAAGGAGCCCTGGGCCCCAGGCTCTCTGCCCTGGGAAACGAGGCGGAAAGCAGGGTGTCTCTGCGGACACAGGCCTGTCTGCCTCACACTGCACATGGCACGGGTGGAGAAGGGGCGCATTCATTCTCCTGCGCCAGACGGGAAAGTCAGTGCATTCTCCCTTTCTTCCACATGCTGGCTTTGGAGAGCTTTGTTACTTAAAACAACAACAAGGACAAAAACAGATGCAAAAGATTGAATTGCAGATTAGCCAGCCTTAGCTGGCGCACTGCTCGTCCAGCTTGGGTAGAGCAGTTTTGTTTGAGGAATTTAGACTTTAAAAGATGTTTTCACAGAAGGGAACCTTCTTTATCTACTAGATGGTCAGTGATTTTTCTAGAGCTGAGAGCTTAGAGGGAAAAAAACCAGAAACAGAGCCAAGTCCAAGAGCAGGAGCAACAGGAGGCTGTCCCAGAAGGTAGTCTCGGCCCTTTGCCTGCTGCCATCTGGTTCCTTATTGTTGACTCTTAAAATTACAAAAACAATGCCTGTTGCTGGAACAACTGACATGGTACCCATGCATGGGGAGCACTTCTGAGTCGCATGCGCCTGGCCCACCCGTCCTGCAGCATCCTGCCCTCTGTTATGTGCACTTGCACAGCTCAGAGGTCATCTTAGGGACAGGCCACCATGGGCACTGGTTGGGAACCTGCTGTGTCTTTGTAACTTAACATTTCCCGGGCATTCCTCCAGATCAATACTCACAGATCTAGCTCATTCCCGTTGGAAGCTACAGAATGGGTGAATATTCCACAGAACTGATGTCCCATCATTTTTCCAGCTATTCTCCTGCCTGGGAACATTCAAAGTGCCCTGTTGTATGCCACCTTTATACAGAGCTGCGGCACACGCGCTGTGCTTATATTCCTACACACCCCATCAGTGCGCTTATTTCTAAAGGATACATTGCTGCTGAGTCAAAGTGTCCAGGCATTTTACATCACCACAAAACCAGCCAGGGCACCTGCTGCTGCCTTCTCTGTGGCTCACAGTCCCAGCAGTGATGCGGGAGTGTGGTGTTCCCTTGCAAGCTGACACCGCTGAGTGTGTCAATCTGTAAACACTGGACCAATCTCACAGGTAGAAAATATACTTCATTGTGACTTAGATCCTCATTTCCCTGATTCCTAGTGGAATTGAGCATATTTTTATATAATCCTAGCAACTGAAGTGGCCTCTCCTTCCACTTTTGTAATCTTTGCCCATTTTTCTTTTTATATTTTGTATTTATTTGTAAAACTATTTGAGTATTGTAGACACCAACCTTCTGTCTCTCACAGGGGTTGCAAAATGTTTTCTCCAGTTTTTCCTTATTCATTTCACTTCTTGCCAAACAGAAACATTTAATTTTTATGTAGCAAATTTGTCATTTGCACAAGTCAAAATTTGTCACCTTTCAAGATGTCCTTTCTACTTTCTGGTCTATGTTGAAGGGCAACTCCCCACCCAAATCACACAAATAGATGCCTAAAATTGCACCTATCATTGCCAGAGCTGCGTGTTTGTATAGGTGGGTCCCCAGGCTTCCTAATGCTCCTTGTCCCCATGAAAAAGCTGCCGCAGGGCTGACCTGGGCAAGGCAGCAGACCTTGGGCCACTCTGGATGCACATTCAGCATTTTTCTTTTTCTTGGTCTTAATTCCAACAGTGGGGTTCACCGATCCTTGGCCTGAGAACACTTCTATCTGTGTCCAAAGAGTCCAAGGGATGCCGCTCTTCTTTCTGGCAAATTTCTGAATTTGAAAAAGAAACTGCCTAAAAGGGAAAAGCTAAGTCTGGGGACACTCATCCCCCAAGGAAAGCTGCCGGAGACCTTGGGGAAGCCAGTGTGTTGGCGGGCACCAGCGCGGGTGCCTCGGTCCACGCCCCCGCCCCTCTGACCACACCCAGTGCTCACCATGACCCCACAGGACAGCAGCTCTCTGCAGGACAGAAGACGGGGACAGGGACGCAGAAGGAAGTTCATGTGGACTGAGCTCACTCTGTGCCAGACAGCGCAAGTCAGATAAGATGCTCCACTGGGCTGTTCTCAGAATAACCCAACACCCGGGTGACTCCATCCCAATTTCACAAGCAGAAATCAAGGTTAGTGAGCTCACCCAGCTGGTTAGCAGACCCTGGTTAGCTCACCCAGGTGGCAGAGACTCTCAGTTTCCCCTGACCCCAAGGTCCTGGTACCCAGCCTCCTATACTCTGGCCCTGCCCTGGTCTCTACCTCTCCCTGGGACGCCGGGTTACTGCATGGCAGCATTCAGACCCAGGGAAGGACTCGCTCTATGTGCCCAAGCCGGTCAGCTCGGAGGAATGTAGCAGGCCCCTCATACTGCACCTGCCCTGCAGGGAAGGCAGAGCAGGGCAGGGCAGGTGCTACCCAGAGAGCTGGGCCTGTGGCCAGCGGGGCCGGTGCTCCTCCCTGGGTTTCTTACGTGTGAGGTGTGAGGTCCAGATGCCGACTCTCCCAAGCTCTGATCTCCTTCAGGACAGCTTGCCCCAGTGGGCACGGCATATGTCACCCCAAACCTTCCATCCGATGATGGCTCAGCCCGCCTCTAGGCAACTGAATCCAGGTGCATATTCCAAGTGTTGGCTGCTCTGGCCCCAGAACGAGCTCAACGTCCCCTTCCTGGAGGAGCCGTCCCTGCCTCCACGGTGTGTGTTCTTGCACTGTGGCCGGAGACTCTTTCCCATACTGGGGGCATTTTGTAATTATGAGCTTACTTCTAGGGTCACCTGGCAAGGGTGCTATTCTCAGCCCACAGGTCCGTCCCCCACGAAGGCAGCCTCTGCCCCTTGCAGTGGGCACATGTAACGCCAGGGACACCTTCACTGAAGCCCCAACCTGCACCACCGCCAAAGCCCAGGCTACTCGGACCACGGTCAGCAGGACATCAAATGCCAACACCCAGGCCTGTCGGTGTCCCTGGCACCTAGAGGACGCTGTCTGCTCTGAGAGGCAATGGAAGGAGGACGGTTTCCCTTTCAGGGCTCCACAGTCAGCAGCTGATCCAAAAGATAACACCGGGAGCTGTTTTCCTTCCCTGGGTGTGTCACAGCTCACTCTCTACCCTCGCTCTCTACTCCTGACACCTTGCAGTTCTCCTCGGGCAGAGTCAGAGCTGGGGTCCACGCTCTGCTTCTCCACTCCTCAGGGAGGGTCTGTTGGCCTACAGGTCACACCCTATGGCCGCAGGCACCTCCACACCCACCTGAGCAGAATGTTCCCAGATTTCACAAGCAACGTGAGTGAGCTGAGAAGTCAGCGCTGGTGGCAGCAGCCCGACTGGCACTAGCGGTGCAGTCCTGCAGGAAGCTGGGGCCGCACTGCCTGCAGCGGGAGCCCTGCCCATCAGTGAGGCTGAAGGCATTGCTTGTCCAAGAGGGGAGCCCCTCGTGAGCCAGAAATGTCCCAGCAAGGGAGAGACAGGGGACCCGGTCAGCAGGGGACAGAGCCTTCCTGCTGCTGACCTTGGCCGGGGAGCAGCCCCTGGGCTCCCTCTCTCCTCCAGCCAGGGACTCTCTGACTCGGGCTGCGCTGGGAGCTGCCTGAGGCCATGCCCCTTCCTCCAAGCCTGATGGAAATGCAGGGCTTCCGGCCGTGCTTGCTGAAGGCCGGCTGGGGAGATGGCGCCTGGGCAGGCACAGCACAGAGCTACGTGGATGCCACGAGAGCAGAGAGTCCGTGGAAGACAGGCACACCAGGCAGGCCCAGCCTGGAGGCCACCTGCACTCCTCGGGCTACCCAGTGGTCTGGTTAGTACCAGAGACATCAGCACAAGGCCAGGCCCAGACGTAACCTGGAAGGTGCCCAGGAGAGGGTCCCACCCCCCTGAGGGAGGCACCAGCCTTCACTGCACAGACCCTGGGGGAGGCCACAGCACCCATCTGGTCTCCGTGCAGCCGTCGGCAGCCCTGTGCTCACACGTGGGCCCCAGTGGCCCTCGTCAAAGATACTAAGAGCTTCCAGACAGCAATAAGCAAACATCACACCACACACAGGCTGCAGGCAGGAAGACTCCCTGGACATCCATGACGCAGTCAGCTCCATGAGAACCCCATCGGGGACACCTGGCGGCCTGGCGCTGAGGGGGGTGCTCGTGCCTGTCTTTTCAATGACGCCAGAAGGACACGGTCCAACGGCCCACCCGCTCTCGTTGCCATGGGCCTTCCTGGCCTCTCTCCCGTCACCTCTGTCTCCCTCCGGCCCTCCCAGGGCCTGCTTCAGGCCTCCCTCCACCCTCAACTTTTGGTTCTTTGCTCTAGAGAATCTGACAACTTTAGAAAGAAGGAGAAACCTGTCCCCAAACTAAGCCCTTCTGTGCAGCTCCCGTGCGGCACCGAGAGGAACGTGCCAGGCCTACGCAGGCACTCTCAGGAGCTCCAACGCCGGAGCAGCAAAGCCAGGGAGCCCTGCAGCGCCGGGGCTGACACAGAGCAGAGGCGGCAGCCCTTTGTCTCTAGCGGCCTGGCAGCTGCACAGCGGGACGGGCCCATCAGCCGGGCCACACACTCACCACATCCAGCAAGGCTCTGCTGGAAGCTGGCAGGGGCTGCAGCCAAGCAGGTAGGAAGTGTGGGCCTGCAACAGCCCCTGAACTGTCGAAAGGCGAATAGAAAACCAGTGAGTGGTGGAATTAGGCAGAAAAGCCAACATTTTGCTTTAAGCTAAAACAACGCCTATTAATGACAACCCTAGAAAAGGCCGATTTATTATTGTTCTCTGTGTTCCGGTTTGAACCACAGTGGGAAGGCAGTCGGAGATAGGCGCAGAATCTCTGTTGCTCTGGGCTCCACTGGCCACGCAGTGGCAACGTCTCAGAACCTCCAAGTCAACCAGACTTCAAAGGAGGTGGCCTGCTGCACCCGCCTAAGGCCTGGCTCTGGTGGCCAAGGGCCTTCCCAGCCAAACCGATCACAGCACAAGCCTGCTCCAGTGCACTCCAGCCAGACCCATCTCCTCGCCTAGCCCAGAAGAGAGTGGCTGTGCAGGCAGCGCCAGGTCCAGTTCCGGAGCAGCACTCGCATCCAGCCAGAGGGACGCCATGACCTGCACGCCGCCTCTGGGCGTTCCTGAGCCCCTCCGCCCTGGGCCCCTCCGCCCTGGACCACGGCCACAGACAGGCACCCGCCTCCTCGGCTAGACTCAGCACCCTGAGGGCGGAGCCCCGCTGGTCCATCTCGGACCCCACATTGCCAGCCCCATCCCAGCCTGGCGAGTCTGCAGGGTGACTGCATCGGCCCATCTGCAGCCCCCAGAGGGATCCCGGAAAACAAGTCTGAGTCGCCCTTGAGAACGTTCATTCCAGAATGTTTCAAGGAGGTTGTCTGTGCTCCCGCTCTGTAAATGGAAAGCCTCTCAACAACTACAAAGGAATGCAGTTGCACTCGAGCCCAGCAGCGCCCCCTAGAGACAGGCCTGCTGCACCTCGAGGCTGCACTCTGCTCAGCCCGCATCCTGCCTCGCCCCTCCTCCACCTCCTTGCAGAGCACTAACTCCTCCACCAGGGGCATTAGGGGAGGTGACCCTCAGATTCATCCCTTTTCAGCCTAGGAAGCATTCCTCAACATCTGAAAAACAAGAAGATAGAATGAGATTTCTGCATTGCCCGTTTGGTTTTTTTAAATTTATCTCCATAGCATTTGGGGAACTGGGCTCTGGATGCACCCCACAGAACATGTCAGCTTGAATGGGGCACAGCCTCCTCCCACAGGGATTCTTAGTCCCGATGAAGAAATGTCCATGGGCCATCAGAACCCAGGTCACAAAACCCCTCAGGTAGGTTCGGGTCACAGAAAATGGGAGCTGAATGGCTGGAGAGTGTGAGGCTAGGGTCACAGAGTGACCTAGAGTGCTTGGTGAAGACTAGGACCAGGTGAGCTCTGAGGTCTCCTCTGCACCCCGAAACCACAGTTATCAGGAGCCATGCCACAGGTTGCTCACCTTTGAACCCCCAAGCGTTGGCAACTCTATGCCTTGAGCGAGGCAGCCTAGGGCAAACGCAGAGCAGGGTCCCCAAACCTGTCCATCAGACTGTGCAGCGTGGCCCCTCCTGCCTGGCGGGCGTGGTCAGCCCCCCAGCCCAGGGCTCCCCGGCGAGGCACTCTCTGGTGAGTAATGCCACTAGGGCAGCGGCCCCACGGGAGGCCCACGGGCAGGGGACTAACTAAGCACCTCTTGCTGGGAGCCGCCTTCTTTACTTTTCTGGAGGGCAGGCAGGGCCTTGGAGGAGGGCAGGCTGGCAGGCAGCGCAGCCCTTACCGCCACAGGCTGCGGCAGCACACTCTGTCCAGAAGTAGTAACAGCTCTAGGGAAGAGGGAGTCACTGCCGCTAAGAAACCAAGGGCGCTCAGTGCTCCCTGCCCCAGACCAGCTGGCCGCGGGGAGCCGAGGGCCTGCTGAAGCGGCCTTCAGTGGGGATCCCTTCAGTGGGGATCCCAGCTGCTCCCCCTCCCACCACCCCACCCCCACCCCTGCCGTTCCAGCCAGTCTGCTGCTTTACTGGGCAGAGCAAGGCGGCTCTGGAGACAGGGGCTGAGGGGCTAAGAGCCCAGTGGGCCACATATGGTTTTCCGGCACTTTCTCAACCCCGTCCACTGCTGGAAAGAGCTTCCCAATGTTGCTGAGCCTGCCAGAAAGTGCTGAAATGCAGGAGGGAGGGAGTCCTAAACACCAAGACAGAGGCAGCCGGGAAGGCTGCAAGCTGTGTTTACGGGGAACAAGAACAGCAAGGTAAACTGCGACCCAGAGCAGAGATAAAAATAACAGCAGTACAGCAGGTCCTGCCAAAACAAGCCTAATCGCCACCAAGCCCTGGGGCCAGAACCCAGGCAGGGAGGACAGGGCAGCTCATACAATCTCTCTCCCTCTCCCTCCCCCTGGCCCTGCAGACATCTGAGAAGTTCAGTCCGGACACACAACTCCCCAAGCCCTGTAGACAGTTCCAGATGAGCTTTAGAACTGCAACAAAGCAATGCCCCAGGACCCTTGCCGATGCCTGGAGGTGTGCACCAGCTGGCGACCTTGAGCCAGTCACTTCACCATGGGCCCCTCAGTATCCTGTCCTTCCCTGGATGGAAAATGACACCCAACCCTTGGGGTCCTGGCAAGTGAGAAACACCCATGTCAGGGCGTCCAACTCTTAGCTCTGCTTCTGAGCTGCCCTTTGCTTACGGAGACGCTCAGGGTGCGAGGCCAGGCTCAGCCCCACCCAGCTCTGTTGGCGCAGCCCCACCCTACCAGCGAGTGCATGCAGGGCATGACAACACCCGCAGCCGAGGCCGGTGCTGTTGCAAAGCCTGGGTCAGCTGCCCTGAGGGCCACGGATTCTCATTCCAGTTGCCAAGTAGAACCTTGGTAGAATACTTGGTAGAACCAAGTGTTGGTTCTACCATTGGTTCTACGAGAGGATTTAGCAGAATTAGGGCTCGTGTTTCAACAGCTATATATGTGTACGTATATTTAGTTGCTTTCTGGCTCACAACACAGTTTTCCCAAAGCCACTTGTAACTGGCTGAAGAGCAAGGCCACCCATGTGTCTAGAATACTCAGAGAGGTCCCTTGACTATTTGGGGACAGGCTCTCCTTTTGTTTTCCAACGTAAAAAAAATGACACCTTGCCATGTACCCAGAAAACCCAGAAGATGGAGCTTCCCTGTCACCTGGCAGAAGCCAGCAATGGCTCTGCTTCCCCACCCTCGACCACACTGCCCAGGGCTGCCTGGAGCCCCTGAGGCCACTTGCTGTGCTTCCTGGCAACCCTCAGACCCTTCTCCCAGGAGACTTGCGGGTGATCGTGCTCAGAAACGCACGTTCCCCTGAGAGCCAGTGGGGAGAGAAACGGGTCCACGTGGCCTCCAGATTGCCACCCCACTGTGGGCCTGGGTGGTCAGTGCCGCTGCAGGACTCCCAGGCTGGTGGGGAGCACAGGCGCGAGTCCCGCAGGGGCTGGGAGGGGAAACCCTCCGGTGAAGCTGCAGCCGAAGGCCCAGCCATGAGGCAGGAAACAGAACATGGTGCACCTTCCAAGTGGGGGAAGAAACTCCGTCACTAAGCATCTCCCTGGGCAAGGCCCTTTGCTGTGCGCACAGCCTTCACGTGTCTCGTCTCAGTCCCTGCAACGGCCGGAGCGCATCGTCTCGTGCACCGAAGAGCGGGCGCCACGGCCGCTTAGCGGGCAGCAGGGGGAGCGGGGTGCCAGGGCGCCGCCTTCCCACAGGTGAGGCCTGGAGCCCGTCCCTGCTCCGCGAGGGCAGACCCCAGCCGGGGAGGTGTCCTCCTGTGCAGCTGCTGGCACCTGCGCGGACGACGGTGTTCCCGCTGAGGCCCGTGGGGCGGCACCCCAGAGTCTGCGCTCCGCTGCCAGACCCTGGCCCCGGGCAGGTGAGAGAGGCTTCCAGAGAACACTGAGAGCTGAGGTTCTCCTTCAGGAACGGCTAACCTGTGCAAGACCAAGCAAGAGAATGGAAGTCACCAACTCGCAGCTCAGAGCAGAACATGCTGAGCACGGCTGCTCGTCCACCACCTCACACGGGGCCGCGAGGCCGACGCGCCCATGAGCAGCCGTTTAGCAGGGACCAGGCATTCCGGCCACTACCCTTTGGGTACTAGTTTGTTTATTTGAAGTAATTTGCAGACCTGAAAAAATAAATAAATAAGGTAAGTGCTAGGGACAGAGAATGCTTGCAGAAAAATAGTTGTGTTCAATACTTACCCATGGATAAAGCAGCAGCCGTGTGGATCCTTCACCTTTGAAGCAGGGTCCTCTCCTCGCGTCTTTTTCAGGCCGAGGCCGGCCTCTGTGTAAGGGACAGAAGCAAGTGAAAGGGCTTGGGCCTCCTTTGCCTCTGCGCCAAAACCAGAGGGAGAGATTCAGAGGCAGGTGTCACCGGCATCATCCAGGCGCTCCAGGGCCCCTCAGGCCATGCGGGGAAGGGGCGGGGAGCCAGCCCGCCCGGTTTCTCCGCGCTCACTCTCAAGGCGGCTGCAGGCTTGCTAGGGTGTTTGCGCAGGACACGCAGGGCCATCAGCACTGCACGCTGCCCTCCCCCCGACACCTCCCCACTCTCCGGAAGAGCAAAGCGGCTCCCGTTTTTTCACACATTCTTGACCTTCTGAGGCTGAGGCAGCCCTGGGAGTCCAGCAACACAGAGAGCTCGGGCTCACAGCAGCAGGCGCGAACGTGTGTGCGTGCGCTCGTCTGCCTGTTGCAGGGAGCAGCTGCTGGAACAGGGACCTTGGGAAACTGGTGTCCCACAGTTTCCCTCTCCCAGCCTGGGAGAGGCTTTAAGGGCCCATTGGCTTCAATCCTCAGTTCACAAGCAAGAACGCCTCTGGCCGGTCTCTGGAAGCTCTGAGCACCACAGCAGGGCCGGCCAACGAGCCGTCAGATCTGAGTCGACAGTGCGCTGGGCACCTTTGGCCATGCCGGCACTGTGTGAGGGCAGTCTTCCTAAGGACACGGACACTAGAGCTCAGAGAGGCGTTGAAGAGCTGAGATCACAGCGGGAAGCGGGGAAGGTCGGGAACTCAAAATACAGTCCCCACCCCCATGCTGGCTCTTACTCAGAGCTCTGGCCAAGGCCAGAGGCCAGCGAGGTCCTGTCTCATCGTGCAGTGGCACCCACCACTCCACCACTGCAGGTCCAATCCACAGCGGACAGACCCCTCTCCTCCCAGGGTCAGCCTGCAACTAGAGCTCAAGCTTCCGTTGGGTTCGGTGTGAGTTCAGGATGAGTCCCAGGCTCCAGAGAGCAGGAATTTCCCACAGAGCTGCACCTGAGTGGAAGCGCACTCAGGGGTCGCAGTTCCTCTGTCCCCCGGATGCCCCAGGGGACTCACTGGAAAGGCCGTGGCCACAGCCTCCCACGTGTGCAGGCAGCTCCCGGCAATCTGTGGGCACATTAGAGGCGGACCCTGAGGTCGAGGTCTCTGGTCAAAGTTCCCTAGGAAGACCTGCCCACCTCAGGCACCCTGGCTTTCTCTCTGGTAGGTTCTTCCCCAGCCCCAGGAGGAAGCCCTGGAAGACCCCAGGCTTAGCCCCGCCCCACTGCCACTCTCGCTAGGCTGCACCTGTCCCTGCCACAGCTGGGTAAAGGGGCTTGCTGCAGGGGAAGGTACCTGCTGGCGGCCCTGCAGGGGCCAATGCTCTGCGTGTTCGGAGAACTGCTTGGCTGGTTGCAGGGGCCTGGGACCTCTCCTCTTCCTTTTGAGTAAAAAAAGAAAGAAAGAAATTCGTGTTGCTTCTCATAAAATATAAAGTCTTCAAACTGCGCAGTGTCTATGCCCCATTCCCACCTGGGCCTCGGCAAAGGTGTTGATGAGGGTGTTGGTGGCACAGGCGGGGCGGCGAGGAAAGGGCAAGTCCTACCCAGTTCTCATAACATGGATCAAGCCCATCTTGTTACTCCCACAGTTCTGCCTCTGACTCTTCCTCTGAGTGCTCAGCATGCAACCACTGGGGACTGAGTGGCAGGAAGCTCCGAATGTAAGCCCAATATGCACGATGCTCCAAAGAACATGGCATTCTTCCACCAGCTGGGCACCAGCGTGAGCCCGCCCCAGGAACCGTGTCAGGTGCAAGGTATTCCAAGTTAAACTCTGTCTCTCTCCTTGCAGAGCTGTCAGGCTGGTACAGATATCCCTAATGTATAATAAGAGTTGTGAGGGAGATGGGGAGGGGGCACATGGAGACATGGGAAGGATGCTTGGATCCCCAGTGACACAACAGGGACATGCCAGTCCAAGCCATCCGAAAGCAAAAGGGGCAGGGGTGTTGACCAGGTACGAAACATCATGGTGCCAGAGTCATGGGCGTGGTACAGAAGACAGGACAGTGACAGCAGGACCAATGGGAAGCCCCAGGCCAGCACTCAGGAGCAGGAGCGCCCGCATCGTAGGTGTGGAGGAGAGAGGGGGGTCTTGGAGACACCACTGCAGCAGTGAAGGCAGGGTTGAGGATGGCAGAGCGGCTAGGGACAGCTCTGCGAACCCCCAGCCTGCCCCTCCCCTCTCCCTCTCTCTCTGTCTCACTCTTCCCATGTCCCCCACTCCACTCAGCCATGGAAGACTCTCGCCTGCAGCCCCTCCTACTGCAGGAGTGTGCGAGCATAGGTTCCGGGCTGGGCAGCGCAAAGGCAACGCCATGGAGGCTCAGCATCGGTGCCCCACACCTGGGCTCCCTGCAGACCCACCCTTCGGAGAGGACTGAGGTGACTAGGAGCAGACCTAGAGGATGTCCCCAGGTGGTAACAGTCCTCGAGCCTGTTTATGAGCTCCAACTGCCTGCGTTCTGCACTATTTTTAAAGCTCTAAGCTCCGTCCTAGCCAATCACCCCCATCCTGCCTGTGCCCTGGGACACTCAAGCCTCTCAACACGACGTCGGTCCATTTGTGCTGCTGTACCTGAAACTGCGTAATTTACAAAGAATAGAAATGTATTTCTGGATGTTCTGGAGGCAGGTCTGGCGCCTGATGAGGGCTGCTCTCTGCTTCCAAAAGAGCGCCTTGTTGCGGCCCCTCGCATGGCGGGAGCAGGGAAAGGCAGCGCAGGGACGAACGGTGGCCAAGCTCTCCCGTAGCTGCATTTGCTCACTCACAACAGCAGAGCCCTCACCCCCGACACCTCCCGCAGGGCCTCCTCCCAGCGCTGCTGCACTGGGGGCTAAGCGTCCCACACATGGCTGTTAGGGGACGCGTTCAGACCACCGCCCAGGCCCATCTAGTAGCTCAGCAGCTGTCCTCTGAGCTGCAGTGACCGCTGTCTAGTGCCTACGATGACAGCTCCACGGAGGATGAGGCGGGGCACACCCCCGGCTCCCATTTTAATCCCTGCCCCCCCTCCTGCACCTCATTCCATTTGCGCTGCATGCTGATGCTGACCTCGGATAGACAGCACAGGGGCTGGGGACCAGACAGGCAGCAAGCAGGGCTTCCCCAGGCCTCACCCCAGCCGCCAGTCCTGAAGCTGAGGAATGGGCTTGCCTATTTGGGAGGCGGTCCGCTTCCCCATCACCATAATCGGGATGCGGGTGGGGGCTCAGGGTGGACAGGGGGCTCCAGGTGGTCAAGCTTTTGCTCCGGCAGAGGCTGTTGCTTCTCCGGCTGCCACAGGCCTCTCCAGCCTCTGAAGCCCCACGGGTGGGGAGTTGTTTCTCTCCACTCTTCCTTGTGCCTTTGCAGAGGCTGCGCGTGCCTGGGGGCTTGGGGCCACATGAAAAGAGAAGTGCTGCCTGGCCTGCTCAACTTTGACCTGTGAGGGCACTGTGGGTGTCCACACCACCTACTGGGACCCCACACCCTTGGTCAGCCCGAGCTAACGGTTTGATGACATGTGGGCCAACCACCAAGTCCCTGGACTTTACCTTGGTCATTGTTTTGGGCTTGCAGAGCTAGGACAAATCACTCAAGTGATTTGTGGAAATCCGAGGACAGAAAATGAGGACACCATGGTTTTAAGTGGGTCTTCTGATAGCTGAGCCTAACCCACAATCTTTCCTCCTTCCTGGAATGTTAGCATCAAATTCCTGCTCAGTGCGAGGAGTTCCATGAATTGCTTTGCTGCCATGAATCACTCTAGGGAAATTTAATATTGCTGCAAACGAGGGTATTTTCTCCAAAGTGTGTCTGTTTGTTTCTTTCTTTTCTTTTAATTTTGCTTTTAACTGTTGTACTGGTGTTGTTCCTTAGAATTCTATTTTCCTGAAGCTTATCATAATAAAAATTCAACAAATTTTAAATTATTCTCCTGAATCTTCCCACTCAGGGAAGACTGGATGTGAGCGAGTGTCCCTAGACCATCATTACAGGGTGGGGACGGCAAAAGACACAGTGTCAAAAGTCAGAATCAATTCAAACAACCATGTTGCATCACTGCTGGGCTTGCAAACCTCAAACCAAAGCAAACTCTGAATGCTGAAAAAACGAACCATGAAACGCGGCAGCAAATCCCACCTCCTCTCAAGGCAACAAAGAAAAGCCACATCAATGGCTTGGCATGAGAGAAAGACGGCCAGTGGCTATGGGTTCAGAGACCCACTTTGAAAGGGAAAAGCTTTGACGTCCTTTTGGCAAGTGCTCCCATAACTGACTACCTGTCGGCCTCGGCTTCCAGACAGCAGGCACAGGCTTTTCCTGGATCTCATCGATCTGCGGCCCCATCCAGAGGCCAGAGAGACCAGCAAATGCGTCTGCTCCTTATAACAGGAAGCCATGACCAGCAATGACAAAAAGAGCTGCGCCTGAAACAAAAGATTGTATTACAGGAAAATTAGGCCAAGGTCCAGACGTCACAGGCAGGTAGAGAGCCCTCTTCCCCACCCGTCCTCCCTGCTGCTTCCTTCCTCTGAAGAATTCCAGACTCCGGGGCCAACCTGCCTTAGTCTGGCCCCGGCAGGGCCTCTGCTGGACCACTGCTGGGGGCAGCCCAGGGCCCAGACGGTCCTTGCTCTCCGTGGGAATGAGGATCCTGTGGTTGTGGGGAGAAACCCAGTCCTGACTAGACCTGGGCCTCCTGGCAAAAAGCGACTTCACCCCTCTGAGCCCATTTTCTCATCTGCAAAATGAAGAATAAGTAACAACTATTCTTCCTTCCCACTAAGAATCTGTGAGTTGACTGAACTTGGGAAATGTCATTGAAGGGGAAGGCTTTATGGACAAAAATCAATGATTCAGTGGCCTTTGGGGTTTTACTCCACAGCTGCCTGTGGGGATGGAAGACTGCCAGTATTCTAAAGGGACAAGGCTCCAGACCAAGCAGGGGACTGGACCGGACACAAAGCCAGCCCACCACCCCTGTTCACATTGGAAGGACCCCCCTCCAGACACTGCCACCCTCTGTGTGTAGGGTCACCCCCAGGAATGCTAAGATGGGACCCAGCCCAGGGCCCACAGGTTGACCCCTCTGGCACCTCCATGCCCAGCCCCCAAGCCCCCTCCAGGCAGATGCCCATGCACTAAGATGTTCCCCTGTAAGCAGAGCCACAGACTCAGAAGTTCCGAACAATACCTATTTATGAGCTCACAGTTCTGGGGGTCAGAAGTCAGGCTGGCTCCACCAGCTCCTCTGCTTATTGGGGTCTCCAAAGCCTGAACCCGGCTGCCGGCGGCAGGGTTCTCTTATCTGAGGCTCTGGGGAAGAATTCACTTCCAAGCTCGTGCATGCTGCTGACAGAATTCAGTTCCTTGCACCTTTGGAAATTGGGTCCCTGTTCCCTTACCAGCTATCAGCAGAGGGCCATGCTCAGTTGCTACAGACCACCCTCATTCCTTGCTTAGAGGCCCCTCTCTCTGCAGAGCCAGCAGTGGCGTGTTCAGTCCTTCAAACATCTGGAATCTCTCTCTATCCCTCTTCCCCAAGCCTCCAGTCTCTGCTTTCCAAATGTCCAAGTGATCAGATTTGGCCCGTGCTGAGCAACTCTGTATTTTCAGGCCAAGTGATCAGTAACCTGAATAACATCTACAAAATCCCACAGTCCCATAATCCAGTGAGCAACACCAGGTGGTGGTGTTCAGGGGCCCACAGTAGAATTCTGCCTTCTGATGAGATGCCTGCTGGGACGCCACCAGGAAGAGTCTGACAGTTGCACCTGTCAGCTGTACTTCCAGGTGAGAGGCCAGCAGACGGCAACACGTGCAGGTCTGACCAGCTGCTGCGGCCCTGCTCAGAGGGGGGTGCCTGTCCCAGATCAGGACGGGGAAGGGGCTTGAGGGCTTGGGGGGGTCCTCCCGAGATATGTACAGGATTTCTACCACTGGAAAATTGTTCATCGCTTGCATGGCTTTGTGGAGTCCCCATGCCCTTCATGTAACCTTCACAAGTTTGCAGCCTGACAGCTCAGTCTCAAGGTCCAAACACCCCTCCTTTTCACTGAGAAGACAATTCTGCCACACAATTCGGCACTCCCTGAAAGACACAGAAAACACATAGGTTGTCTCCTTTCTGCAGCACATTCTGCCACCCACCTCTGGTCATGTTTCTCAGGATGATGCAGCTTCTGAGATGTTAGTTATAACTCATTTTCCTCCTTCTGAGAAAGAGCCCAAGAGGCCTGGGCCCATTCTGTTCTCCTGGAAACACTGTGTTCTGTTCCGAAGCTGAGACGAGACTGCTCGGGGGAATTGCCTTATCGAAGGGCCTTATCCCAGCTACCTGACTGTTTCAGGCACATACAGCCTTGCGCCAGCCTTTTACTGTGCCACTTGCCTGAGGACTGTCTCAGGGTGGTGGCAGGTGACCCCACCTCCTCCCGCCCTGCCCCTCCACCTGCCCCAGTGAGTGCACAGCTGGGGCACTTGTCCTTTCCACCTGAGAGGAACACGCAGCTGGCCTCTGTCAGATACGCGGGGATTCCGGGAGAAGCAGGAAGGTGGAAAAGGAAGCCCAGAGAAGCCCCTGCCAGTGCTCTCTCCTGGCCAAGGCCCGGGACACAGCCGTGGCCTGGGGCGAGCCCAAAGCAGCCATCTCTCCAGGATGCCTCCAATCAGGGGCCTTCCTGTCACCCTGAAGCCTAGACCAGACATCCCTAAAAGTGGGGGTCTCAGCAGGTGAAGGTGTAGGACTGCCTGAGGAAAGGGATGTGGGGCTCAGGAGCAAGAGTTGGGGGAGGACAGAGCACAGGACCCTGATGGAGAGAGTGCCACGTCCCACCTTGGCCACGGGCTGTGATGCACCCTTGCTGACATCCTGCCTCGTCATCGCCCACACCACAGCTGTGGCTGCTCGGCCACACGCCCGCTTCAGAGGTGAGGACCCGACGCCTGGGCAGGGACATGTAGCAAGCAAAGGCACACTTGGCTCTGCCCTGGGCCAGGTGGCTCGACCTGCACAAGCAGTCAGGCCTGGGGCTCCCGGAGACAGCCCTCTGCCCGGAGCGCAGCAGTGCGAGCAGGAGCTCCCCCACAGTGGCAGGGAGGGAGCGCAGGAGCTCGCTCCGTCTCTTGGTGGCTTGCTGGCCTGGCTGTTTGGCTCCTTGCTTGGAAATTCACAAGCAGGGCAGATGCGACGGAGTGACCGCAGACAGAAAGCAATTCCACACAAACAGCTTTTATTGCAGAAGAGAAGGGAGCTCTACAAAGCGAGAGTGTGTTCCAGAGAGGAACCGGTCAGTCTCCACAAGTGGAGAAAGACGCTGAGAAAGTCCTCCTCACGTTCCTGCTCTTTGCCGTTGTTAGCTTTGTTGTCCTGGATTTCCTGCAGTCTCTTCCCCAGCCTCTCCACCCCTAGGAACCGGCCTGCCTCTGCCACCTGCAGATTTGGTCCCTGCCTAACAGGAGAGGGAGGAGGGAGAGGCAAGGCAAGGAAGGGGGGCAGGATGTGGGTGGGGGAAGTGGACTTTGGCACACGGTTGGAAGCCACTGGAGTGTCCAGGAGGGAAGCACAGCCACAGTCTGGGACGGCGTGGACTGGAGAGAAATCAGAAAAATGGAAACAAATGGGAGATGGAGAGAAGGAGAAAGGCAGAGGACACTTATGATGCTAAAATGTCACTGAATGCAATCTGCAACATATTTCTAAGTTTGCTTGTGGGAATCTTATAAAATTAGTCATTGGAATGGGAAATCGTGTCCCTGGCATTCAGCTTTTTCATTTCAATCCTCATTGTGTTTTTTAGGTGGGATGAGAGGTGAGGATGGGCCTGAGGATTCGGAGCCCTGGGCCTCATCCCAGCACTGTCGGGACCTTCCAGGCAGGCAAGGGCCAGTGGGGACTGTGTGCCTGCCACTGCACCTGGCACAGCATGGGCTCTCGGGGATTGTCAGCTGAATTAATGAGTGATGAATAAACACATGTTTGAACCATGAGGGAGCAACTTGTGTCCCATCCCTGAAGCCCAGCAGCCCAAGCAGTGCCTTCCTCAACCACCGTGAGCTTACAGAGCTTTGAAGGTGCAAAGCCATGCACTCTGGTACAGCCACCGCCCCCAGAATCCAGACTGCTCCAAGCAGCCTTCACCTGTGCAGGAGATCTTGCACACTCTTATTTGCCAACAGAAGTGAAATTATCTGGCAATTTTATCCTAGATGATAAAGAAAAACAAATTGAGCTAGACTTAAACATAGGGCTACTTAAAAGACCAAGTGCAAGTTTGCCCTATAATAGAAATCAAAGCCATGTCACCACTCCAGACATCCGTGGTCCCCAGCTGGTCCCACATGCCAGCTCAGCCACCTGGTCAGCAGCTGCTGGCAGCTCAGGCACGCCTGCAGGCTCATGCCTCACTGCCCCAGTTGAGTATAGTCTCTCCACGGTGGTGTGGAAGGACAGCTCCCTTCTGACCTCTATGGGGACACACCCAAGCGAGGAGCACAGGGGCTGATATCTGGGAAAACCAACAGAAAACCACAAGAATCTCAAAAAAAAAAAAAAAAAGCAGAAATGCATATCTGCTCATGGAGCTGTGCTCACACGCCTTGCCACGTCTAACAGCCTTGCTTTTCCTCTGGAAAATTCACTTTCCACTTTTTCTCAAGTGGCTCCTTGTAAGCCTCAAGAGCAATACACATTGTGCTATTGAGGCTAATGGTTTAATAAAATGTATAACACAGAGAATTACTGCCTTAAAAACAAAATAGATCTCAGATCATTTTGTCCTGTCATCTTACCAGGCGAGGAACAAGGAGACCTCAGCTCCCCGTGTGGGCAAGGTGGGGCGAGACGGGGACCGCCTGACCCTCCAAGCTGCTCCCATTGTCATTTCTGTATTCACTTCATCTTCACAAACAGTTGCTTTGCCAGTGTAAATTTCTATAGCAATGATCAAATGCAAAACTTCTTCAAGTAAAAAGCAAACATGCTTGACTTTGATGGCTCTGAGGTGGCATAGGCTTGTTTTAGACATGTGACACTTACACTTAAAATCCTAAAAACAGCAGGCATCTATCTTGTTTGGTGAAGTGCACAAGAGTCCCTAACTGGACCACAGGCTAGAATGTGCATTGTCACCCTGGCCCCGGAGCTTGATGAGGCAGTGAAAAGCCCTGTCCTTCAAGGTCATTCAGTTACATGGGAGCTACCATAGCATACAATGCAAAGGAGCAGGAAACTAACCCTAATTCAGGGTGTGGCCAATACAGCTTCATACAGACTGCTGTATGTGTATGTATCTTACACAATATTTACACCCCAGAGTGAAAACAAAAGGTGGTTAAGAAATACACCAAAAGATGCCCATGGTCAGTTACAGATGCTTTTACTTTCTTCTTTAATGTTTTTGTATTTTACAAGTTTTCTACAAC